GGACATGTACTTTTCTTTACCTGCTCTTTTTTCTTCTTAAGCCTAGCATTTTCTTCTTGAACCCGATGGCATTCAGACTTCACTTTCTCTTCACTAAGTTTAGCTTCATTAAGAGCAATCTGAACCTAATGCAAAACACTCCTATTAGTGAATTAATTCCAAAGAAAACCAAAAAAAGTTACTTTCCCAACCCAACATCACGTAGTTTTCATTTTTTGCACATTTTAGCACATGCCAACTTTTTGCTCCTCAATAAAACTATGATACAGTTTTAATATCCTGGAGGAATTATAGTCAGCTTTACCTCTGAAAATTCTGAAGCATTCATGGAAATAACATCTTTTAACTTCTCTATACATTTCATGTTTTCTGATATCTGCCATGTAAAAACAGAATACAAAATGCATATTAGGATTTCAGTAGAAACACTGGGATATATACTAAAAAGAGGAAACATCAACGAAGTAAATCTCAGAGCCATCCTGTGTTTCAGGTAAAAGCAGGTTTTTCAGTTTTGCCCTAGGGAAAAATCAAGAACTTAAAGAGGTAAAGGAAAATAATCAAAGGCGTAAATATTTCATGGCATACACAACCTTCCTTGTTAGAATAAAATGTGATACATGGCAAGACTAAAAGATGAAAGAAAAGAAACTGAAAAAACTTTCAAGTTAACAAGTTCAAATCAATGTAGGTTTTTTTTTTTTCCCCCTTGGGGCAAGAGAGAGAAAAAAATCCCCAAGGTACTTTAAAAATTCTCTTGCCTAAATTAAAAATGGGAGAATTGGAGTGAGAATAGACAGATCATGCATATACAAGAATTCCAAATAATTTATGAAGATTCTAGCTCCTCAAGGGAATGGATCATAATCCTTCACTTTTTAACTGTGAGCTGTGTTACTAACTTCCTTCCAAAGAGTACAATAATGCAAAAGGTTAAAAAAAAAGTAATTTTACAGTGAAGAAACCTGGCAATACTAAGCTCAGTCAGGTCATCAAGATTAATAGGATGTGGGATTTATGGGAACCCTCCTTACTATCTTTGCAATTTTTATGTCATTCTGAAACTATTCTATTAATAAAGTAAAATGCTTACAGTGAAAAAAGAACTTTGCAAAACAAAACAAAACACAGGGACTGTTCAACTGGGTTGTGGTTTCTTAGTTGCTCCACATGTTTTGGGGGACAGAGCCAAGCAATACAACAATTACCTAGGGTTGAGAACCAAAATACTTCCTAGGCCCATAAGAGTAACTTCTTGCATAAGTACTTAAAATCCCACAAAAACGGACAGAAGTAGGTTCAACTTCCCTGACTCGCACTCTTACTTCACAGAACACTATGGAAAATGAAAAGTTCAAATCCATCTACAGAGTTCAAAAACCAAATTATTAGTAACAGTTAGCAGCAAAACTCTTACCAAATCCTGATTCTTGACATTCTGTTCTCTCTCAGATTCTAACATAACACGAAGATTTTTAGCTGTGTCACCCAGAATTTCCTTATTTTTTTCAAGTGTCTTGATTTTATCCTACAAAAAAGATATTAAGATTAGTTACATTCATTAATTTTTACTTTTGTTTTAAAATGTAATCCCCAAAAGAAGTTTTCACCTTAAATTTAATGGCTTTATCAGAGAGAACCATATTTTGTTTCCTAGTTTCTTGAATATGTTTCTTTGATTCCTCAATCTGCAAAAAATAAAGCATTCAGAATCCAGAAATACAAAGTATTGTGCTATTGGAACTTACTTTGAAGTGATTGACCTCTTATAGAAGAAAACAGTACTTTACACACATGATTGCTTAAGCTCTGGATTGTTTATAGGAATTAATGGAATAATAAATATTATTTTAAAACACCATAGTAACTGAACTATAAGACAGGTGAAAATAATTCAAGCTGGGACCATGGGAAAAAAAGACAAAAGAATAATTAAACCTTCTGTTCATAATTTGACAATTTCTGTACAAGTTCTGTATTTTCTTTCATAATAATCTTCAACTTCTCAGAAATCTGCTGTTCAGTGACTGAAAAAAGAAAATATGTAAGGTTATTATAATCACTAAATGAAACAGAATTACCCAATGTATCAGCAGAAAGACATGTTATCTGGCACTATGAGGAAAAAGAACTTAACATAACTATTATGGTTTTGAAATGTGATATGGTTTGGATTGTGTCCCCACCAAATCTCAAGTCAAATTATAGTCCCCA